ATTGAACAGGTAACTACCATTTGTTAGCTTTGCTAGACTAATAAGAAAATTTTAAAATACCAAGAAAGGAATATACAAAAATCGTCCAACTGAAAACAAAGTATAAAACTGAAGCATAAAAACGAAAATGATTTCCATCCATTTTTAGCATGTCTATAAATTTTTGTAAAATATCATATAAAAACAAGTTTTATTACTTAGTTTAATCTATTTAACCTTCTAATCTGTAGACGGTATAGTGGTAACAAAGGCAAACTTCTAGTCCAACACCAGGGAGGGGATTCGAATGCCACGCAAGACTTCATTGTTTTTGTGTGTCCTCCCATCTCATCCCGAGTGTAACGTCAGTCTTAACCTCGCTTTCGGCGATGAGATTGTTAAATTACAGATGGTATCGAACATATCCGATAAATTCTTGAGGAGAAAATGGCCAGCCATTTTGTAGAGTTGTAGAGACATTAGAACTTCTTTGAAAGCAGAAGATGTGAAAAATGAGCAATGCCCTCCCCGGGACTCGAACTATGGGCCTCTCGAATATGCGCTGAGCATGCTGACCACTACACTAGGAAGGCATGCTAAAAAAGTGGAAAAAATGCCTTATATATTCCCACTTTTAAAGACAAGAGATTAGGGGACTCAATCGCCAATTCTTGTGGGAAGAATCATCATCCACCACCCTTTTAGTTCGGGTGCCACTGTAGAGACATTAGGATTTTTTGGAAGCAGAAGATGTGAAAAATCAGCAATGCCCTCGCCGGGACTTGAATCACGGGCCTCTCGAATACGCACCGAGCGTGCTGACCACTGCACTAAGACGGCATGCTAAAACGGGAGAAATACAGGGTTATCCAAATTAAACTTCCCCAACTCAGAGGTCTGTGCAGAGTATTGTATGGGTCATAATGTGATGAAATTTTAAAAACAGACACTTCAGATCATGCGCTCGAGATTTATTAAACAAAAAAGTACAAGAAGTTGCCGATAGGTTGCGCTGCAGATCAACAAGACATTATACAGATGTTCTATATGTGTACCGTGGTTTTCCACAACTCTTTCCATTCCCAAAGCAGTGTGTTCCACAGCGGAACGCAGTAAGTCCACATTAATTCCACGAACATGTCGAATAACTGCGTCTTTCAGATGTGCTAAGGTTGCTGGGTATTCTCGCTAGACCCGATCCTTTAAGAATCCCCATAACCAAAAGTCGCATGGCGTGAAATCAGGCGAGCGGGGAGGCTAAGCTGTAGGGAAACAGCTGCTGATCACACGTGCATCGGTAAAAGTTGCCCGTAACACCTGTTGAACGCCACGAAGAATATGGGGAGGTGCACCATCCTGCATAAATATCGTGTTCTGAAGGCGGCCACGTTGTTGCAGTTCAGGGATCACAAACGTTGTCAACATGTCCTGTGGCAGAGCAGGTTTTGAACCCTGTTGGAGGTCACCACTTCAAAAAAATAAGGCCCAATGACGAATGTTGCAGTGAAACCGCACCGTACAGTAACCTTTGAAGGGTTCAAGGGCACTTGATGGATTGCGCGCGGGTTTTCACTTGCCCAAATGCGGCAGTTGTGCGTATTCACTTGACCATTCAGGTGAAAAATGGGCCTCATCCGTCCAAAGAATGTTCCACGGCGAAGCAGCATCGACTTCCATTGGAACTGCCGCAAATGTTTCCCGAACTACAGGATCCCCGTCGGACAGCTGATGACGACTATGGATTTTGTAAGGAAAATAACCGAGGATTCGACGCATCACGCGCCAGACGGTCGTATAGGACATATCAACAGCACGAGAAACAGTTGGCACACTGACAACACCATGTGGTGATTGGCTAGTGGGGTCCACGACCGCCAAAGCAACGTCTTCTACGCGTGCAGATTCCACAACCTGTCGTCCTCTACCTGGTAAGATTCCCAGCTGTCCCGTTCTTTCGAACTTCTTCATCATGTCTCGTACAGCGCGTGGTGTCATTGGTCCTCAGCGTAAGATCTTCAGCCGACGGAATGCTCTTATCGCAGCACAGAAGTTCTCGTCATTCTGGTAGAAAAGTTTCACTAACAGAGCTTTGTCTTTCAAAGTCGCCATTGTGCATCAGCGAGCTGAAAACAACTGCCTGTGCAAGGCCTGTCTTCCACTTTTGTAGGGCTCGTCTTTTGGATACGTTGCGCAGAAGCTTTATTTCTGCAAATCACGTTGCTGCAATATGCACATTACTAGTGTTACAGCCCCACCTATCGGCAACTTCTTGAACTAATTTTTTTTTGTGTAATAAATCTCGAGCGCATGATCTGAAGTGTCTTCTGTTTTTAAAATTTCATCACATTCTGACCATACAACACTCTGCACATGCCTCTGAGTTGGGGAAGTTTAATTTGGATAACCCTGTACCTTATAGAGTCAAGTAGATATGAAAAATGAGTAGTGCCATCTCCGAGACTCGAACCTTGGACCTCTCGAATATGCGTCGAGTATGCTTCCAATAACACCCCGAAGGAATGAGGAGAGGCGGGAGAAAATATCTTATAATTTGAAGGAAAAAAGAAACGCTATCTAATCTTTACGTTGATTATTATTTCATACAGATACTCAAGATAATAATGTCTTGAAAGACAGTTGTAATCCTTAGTATTCTCACGTACTCTTGTAATTATTGCTAATGAATTCACATGGCTTTACTTTTAGCTAACTCAAACTTCGTAAAAAATAATTGCTATTGCAGTTATTATTGAAATACAATACAAAGCGAAAAGGATGATGCTATATCATTCGGAGGAAGTTTCTGATTAAAAGTATTTTATAATGAGTCGGATTCTTGAAACATGCTTATCACTATGCAGTGCGTTATGGCTGGTAGATTTTAAAGATTTACTTAGAAAAGCGTTAACTTTACTAAATCCTCATTCAGACAGACGATTTTTTTACCTTCATCTAGTTAAAAAGCATTTCTTCGCTCGATTAAATACAAATATTGCGCTACAAAATCTCTTTGTATTTTTACTGAAATTGCTGTTTATCTTTAATTGCAAAGGAATAATATTTAACCGCATTACAGTAATTTACAGTAGACTGACTGCTTAACAAATATTTGAATTCCTCTCAATTGAGCAATATTTAAAATCAATTTGAATGGAAACTTATTTCTTCTTATTTTCTGTTGGAATGGATAAACGGTCTTTGAAACCACAGCACAGTTGTAATATTCCAATCGTAAAGGAATGTTTTGGCTTATTACGTATTTTTCTAACCGATTGTCCACCTGTTTAAGAGTAGGCGTTGTGATTTTCATTCTCACGATTACTTCCTGATTTACAACGGCTGAGAAAACAACGTCTCCGGCTTTCATTCTTTTTAATGTGAGGGAATTCTTTGGCGCTTAACAGTTTCAGAATACTTGGCCATAGAGCGATTACCTTTGACGAAAAAAAAAATCTTTTGACTTTTTTTCAGAAATTAAGATCCCAGAGATAGAAAAACTGGCTGTCCTGCAAAATTTTTTTCGGTAATTTTAGAGAGCAAAACGTTTAGAAGAAATTTAGAGAAACTGCATTATAAAAGAATTTTTATGCCTGCTGAAAGCTTAACATTTTCAAACATTTTGGAGATGGAATAATTATCTATTTACAAGGAATATATTGACGCTCCCTCAAAATTTGCCATTTTTAATAAATAATTTTAGAGAAAAAAACAACGATATTCTATGAAAAAATTCTTTGATGTCTTCAATTTCAATAATAAGAAATCTCAAAACTTTTGAAGGAAAATTTTGATTACTCTTTTCACTCTCAGTGCCACCAAATATAAATCATCTTTCTAAAAATGGCGCGAAAACCACCATTTTGCACCCTATAAGTAATTTCTAGCTTTTCAGCACTAAAACGTCGATAAATTGTGTCTGTGTGGTTTCTTTAATAACAAAAGTGGTATGTATGGGTAATTATAGTAAGCGAATTACAGGTATTCAACTGTAAACATCCATGTTCTTTTGAGACAACAAAGTTTTTAAAAAATATGAATCATCAGTTGACAGCTTAGCTTTTTATACAAGTAGGATTTAGGTTACTCACTTGCCAAGAACCATGGGTACTTACGTATTAAGTTGCACTCATTACTTTACATTATGCTGTTATAGCATAAAATGTACACAACCTCGTAAAAGCCAATTCTCTGTCTTGTAACCAAAAATATTTATCTTTCTTGCTAAATAAACAATTCGAATACTGTTGTCAATTTTTGAAAAGAAAATGTTTCATCATCGTGAAAACTAGTCATTCGCATGGTCAGCCGCTTAAATTACTTATAATAAAAAAGAAAAATACATATGATTTTAATGAGTCCATCTCGCCTGTAATCTAATAATTAATAATAATAGAGGTGAAGAACTGCGTTTACTTTTTTCAGTCGCTTAATTTGTTAACCTTTACAGAGAGAAAAAATAAATTAAATTACCTAGGCTTTGCCAAATGACAGCACACTAGCACGTGGAAAATAAAAATATTTTATCTCGCGCAGTGGCAACACATTTTTTTTAAAAATCGTCCAGTTTGTGAATTAAATTTGGAAGCTTGCCAAGTAAGAAGCTTCTTACGCTTTGCCAAGTAGGAGCTCACTTCTTTCAGTCCAATGAACATCTATCGGACCTTATGTCACTACCTTTCTGATCGCAAGCTCTTAGTTGTTCATAATAATGGCTATATAGAACATCAACAAACTATGGGCTGTACACAGGGTTCTTGCGCTGGCCCTCACTTATGGAATTTAACATTCAACAGCGCTTTAACAGCTGAGTGGCCAACACATACAAATATCTACGCATATGCTGATGATGCGGCCTTGATAGTGCGAGGAAGATCTCGTGAAGAATTGCACTCCAACTGCAATGATACATGCCCTTTCTTCCACTCTCTGTGTACATCACTAAAGCTAAATATAGCTAATCAAAAATCTAAAGTTCTGCTTATTCCTAAAAAAGGAGAATCACTGGTACGGAGACACGTATTATGCTCAGTGAACAAAGGATTCAAATTGTCCAAGGACTGAGGTATCTGGGTCTTATTTTTGATGAAAAGATGACCTGGATACCTCACGTAATTGATCTGAAGCCCAGAACATCGGTAATTGCCAGAGGTTTGAAGAAGCTACAGGGGCATAAATGGGGTCTTAACCCACATATTCAGAAAATTTTATTCAAGACAGTTGTCGAAAAGATTATTACGTATGCAGCAGCTGTGTGGGCATTTTCTATGCAGGGCTGTAAAATTAGACATCTGTCAGCAATCCAGAGACCCTTTGCTCTAGACATAACTCGTGCTTATCGCACAACAGCCTCTAATGCAATCAATGTTTTAGCGGGATTATTACCCCTCCACTTACGAGTTCAAAAAGAGGCTGTCAGGCAACTCATCAAACAGTTACGGCGTCCAGCTTCCTTCTCTGATGAATATTTCCTTCCAGAAGAGTATGAAATACCGGCTCCTGATTTTCGTACCCATCCACCATTTAAAGGCATTGGTGTTTGGATCCAAGTTCAGCCAAATACTACAGCTCTACCTTCTCAAATAGAAATTTATACAGACGGCTCGAAAATTAACGAAAACACAGGCAGTGCTTTTGCTGTTTTGCGGCATCATATAATTACACATCATTGGAAAGGTCAACTGCGCTCTCAAAATTCAATCTTCCAAGGTGAAGCGATTGCTATTGCACAAACCTTACGCTACCTTATCTTTTACGGTATTAAAAAACAGTTATAAAAACAGACAATCTATCGTCGTTGCATGCTTTGGGTAATCCTGACCATCCATCTCCCATTATACAAAACATTCAGCAGAATCTAAGAGAGCACTTCCTCCATCAGCTTAAACTTGAGTGGATCAAACCTCATGCTGGGCATTACGGAAACGAAACTACAGACAGTCTAGCCAAAGAAGCAGCTTCATGCAATGCAGATACTCTAGTCAATATCCCATGGCCTATTTCTTATCTCAAGAAATGCCTGAGATTGAAGGCCATTGGACGATGGCAAGAGGAATGGGACCAAGGCTCAAACGGTCGACGAGCGCAGTATCACATAGCGTATGTTGACACTGACCGTATCATTTCCAACCCTCAGCTCGTTCGATTTATCACTGGCCATGGTCCATTTCGGCAATATTTTGCAAAAACGGAGGCTGAGTTCCACAGCAACAGAACTCAGTCTGCTGCGGAGATATTGGATCCCCAGAGCATTACCTGACCACTTGTCCATTGACATCTGATCTTCATATTCAGCTGCCAAGTACCAACAGGCAGGCTTTCTGCAAATTTATTATAAAGCAGAGATATCTGATTACAAAGGTTGTCAATTTAATGGACAAACTATCTACGCTGGGCATGGACTTATGTCAGACAGTGTAAATTCTCCTACTGCCATAAACGTATGCTCCGTATATGGATTATATGCAAATTTTTGTCAGCAATATAATAGTCTTACATCAGCAAATTATAGTACCAGTTTTAATCAGTATTGTGTTAGTATCAATACCAGTAAAGTATTGTAACAGTTAAATATTGTATATGCATATTTGTATCAGTAATTTAACAGTCGTACATGATTAAGTATTGTATCAGTATCAGTATTATATCCGTCTTGTTTCCGTAGTGTATCAGTCATATTTGCATCAGTAATATACCAGTAATGTAACAGTAATGTGTCAATAATGCATACGTGTTGTGTTAATTCGCATTAGCTTGAGTCTTTGTAACGTGTTATTTTGTGGTTTTATTTACCGACTTGTACAAAATCACTCCCATTTACAATTAATCACTATTAGTCAGTATTGTATGAGTATTAATACTAGTAAAGTATTGCATATGCATATTACTCATGCATATATCGCATGAGCAATGAAAATAGTCTTACATCAGTAAAGAATTGTATCAGTATTATATCAGCCTTGTATCAGTAGTGTATCAGTTATATTTCATCAGTAATGTACAAGTAATGTAACAGTAGAACATTGATCTGTGATATTTTAATTCGCATTTTTAAGTCTCTGTAACGTATAATTTCGTGGATTTATTTACCGACTTGTGCAAAATCATTCCCATTTCATCAGTATTAATAATCAGTGTTATATCAATGTATCAGTACTCTAGCGGTATTCATCAGTATTAATATCAGTACCAGCCTTTTATCAATTCTGCATCTGTCATATTTGCATCAGTAATGTACCAGTAATGTATCTTGTATATTAATCTGTAACTCTGTAACATGTTATTTTGTATGTCTTGTCGTGCTCGTTGAATACCTTTCAGGTGGCATTATGTATTTTGAAGGGGTGCTATAGATAGTGGTGGACGTGGTGCTATACTAATTAAGCGTTTGATAAGGGGATAGTGCCTCCGTTCCGATTACGTCCTCCGTTCTTTCTCTCTCTCTCACTTCTTTTAGGCCCACCAGCCGGCCGAGAGGTAAAGTCGATGAACACTGGTAATTCCGTCGGCCTGAGGTTTGAATCCCGCGAACGAGCTGGCTGCATGGGCGTTTTCGTGGTTTTCTTCCTGTGTAACGTGTATACGATCCAGTTTCCCTTAGAAGGCCCTCCACGAAGGCATCCCTTTCTTTAGGCAGATAGCCCTCAAGGCTTTGCCATAATCAAATACACCTACCTACACATCTTTTAAACTGTTCAGTTTGTTAATCAAAATTTTGTTAAATTCACACAAAGCTAAATAAAAAATAATAAAAAAAAAAAACTAGTAAAAGATCGAAATTTGGGCTTCAGGAGGCACATATTGAGGTGGAAGACTGCATGTGTTCAAAATTGGATGCTCTAGGGGTTTTTTTCCTACAGTTTGTAAATTATCTAATTTAAAATTTTATAAACGCTATGCTCGAGACTATACAAATGTAGTTCGTAAATAATGTGTATGGTATGACATATTTAATACTTCCATATAAAGTAGTGTTTTAAAAAAAACGTTTTTAGTAAACTATCTGTTTGTTATTACTTTATAATTTATGTAAATGGCAGATTTTATCTACATTTACGCCAACAATACAACTATCGAAAAAGATTCTAATAATAATAATATATATAATGGTAAATATCACTCAAAATATATTCCATCTTTTTAAAAACTTAGAAAAAAAATTATATTTTGACGAAGTTTTAAATTTTAGTCAAACCGTGCCTAAAATCTTGAGAATTCTCTCGTTATATTAAAACAGCGTAGAATTTCTTATAGTTTTCCGCTATTTTGATATTATAAAATATCAGCATGTTCTTCAATGAAATGATGGAAATCAGGTTTCATTAATGAAAGACAGTGTAGTTCAAAATTAAAGTAGCAGATTAGTGCTGTTCGAAAAGCATCACTAAATGACAGTAATAGTTTATATATTTTTACGCTTCTTTACAAATTTTCAAAAGAAATATTTCTTCGATAACTGTTACTAATGTTTACTCAAATTATGACTAAAACCTTGAGGATTCTCTGATTTATATTAAAATGTCATTGAAATTCTAATCATTTTCCGGCATTTCGATATTACAAAATATCATCATGTTCATATTCTGCCAAGATTCCGATCAAAGTAATCAAAACGAAGTTTCATTAGTACGAAGTTTTTTTCTTGTCATTGCTAAACTAATTAAATGTTGCACATTTGTATCTTTCGATCGTCAGATTTCAGCTTTGCTTGTCATGATGGAGCAAATATTTCAGGATACAAGTTTCCCATTATCTATATGTAGAAAAACGAAATTCCCAAGATCTTGCCAATTGTCGTTAGCGTCTGTTTCGAATAAAATAAATAACTCTCAAAGGCTCCAACTCCACTCGTCACATTCAAGGTCAAATCTGATATTGAATCAGTTTCAATCGCCGAATTCAAGGATATTACTTTGTTCCAATTACGCATTTTCTTCCATGCAGTACTCAAGTCGAAAAGAAATGTCGTTCCATGTTTTGTCGCACGATTCGTCTTTAAAAGCACTTTCGTCATTGGTGTGGCACCAAAATCTACAGATTGAACAGTTGCTTGAACTACGGGAAAAGCCATAACGATTTTTAAATTTACTCAGTAAATTTATAAAATCAAATCTTGATAGTAAGTCACTCCTGAGATTGAGAAAAAGAGATGCATTAAATGAAATCAATAAGTAAATATAAATGAATAAATAAAAAATTCCGAAAGCTTTTAAATTTTATATTATTCCGAAGAGGGACTTTTTGTAACATTTTGTACGTTACCTTTATTTATTAAATATCATTTTTTTCTCACTTCATAACACTCAATTCAACAGAAATATCACAAAATATTTAAAAACAGAAAAACTTTAGAATTTTCGATACACAGTCTCCTGCGCTGGTGTTCGAGCAGTGTTGCCACTGCTCGCTTTGAAATCGTTGAATTTGTTAATAAAAATTAGCTAAAGTTTTACAAAATTTGAAATACACTATAATACAAATTCTAAACTCGGGGTTCCATGTGTCCATGCTCGGGTGGAAACTTACATTATTCAAAATTGGATGGCTCTAGGTACCGTTGCTTTATCACAATGAGAGAAACATACATACATTCATGCATATTCTTCATTATTTAACTTATTTAAATATAATACAGGGCGATAATATTTGGTGGCAAAAATTTTTAATTTAAAAAGTGATTCCCCGTTTATAATGAAATGCCGAAAAATGCCGTTTTGAGACCAATAGCCCTTCTGGCCTATCCCCGCCTTAACGAAACATAAACTATGTAAATTGATTTGTAAAATTTTCTCACTGAATTTCAATTTTAATATAGAAACAGAAATAAATTGCTTGAATTTTTACTTTATTTAAAATAGTTGTTGATTTGACTTTTTTTTTCGCGAATTTCTTTTAGAAGGCATCCTAAAATTAGTATACTTAAAAAAAAAAAAAAAAAAAAAAAAAAAAAAAAAAAAAAAACCATCGAGATCCTAGAATTTATCGAAGTTCGATATGTTAAATCTATTCCTCTTTCCAGTTGCACTGAATTTAAAGATTTATTTTAAGCAACAAGTGTTATGTTAAGAAAAATGCCTTGCGTGCTTTGCATATTAGCAAAAGCAGGCTCTGTTAATCATATATTTTCATGCAGTTTTTACTTTTTTTAAAAATCCATATTGTTATTTTTTTTCCTAATTTTCTCGGTGTTTTTGATATTTAACCGAGGAAAAGTAAAACCTGTAGGATATGAGAGAAATAATTGTAGCTTAAAAAATTCTATAAAAATAATAATATGAGCACTTTGTTTCAAATTGTATTTTAAAACCACAGTAAAAAATTAAAGACAATAAAAATAAAAGTAAAGACAATAAAAATATAATTAATAAAAAAGGTAAAATCAATACAGATGTAATTAATAAAAAGATAAAAAAAATTAAAATATAATTAATAAAAGATAAAAGCAATAAAATATCATTAATTAAAAAAAGATAAAAGCAATGCAGTCTGGTTTCATATCTGAATTTTATTTCAATGAATTTTAAGCAGTTTCAACAGTTTAAAGCAATAGTTTTACTACTCCTTTTAGTTTAAGAATAAATTATTAGAAATTTAATATATTATACACTGAAATATAAAAAAGTATTTTAAGAAACTTTTGAAAGAAACTGTTCAATATAACAAAGCAAAACAAAAACAAGAAGTCGAAATTTGCTATCGTATTATTCCACCATAAAATAACGCTACGTGGAGAATTTTGCTCTTATTTCATATAGGAAGTAATTCAAGAAATTGAGAAATTTTGATGTTGAGTTCTTTATGCTCGAGGCTTTAAAAAATTATTTTATTCCAATCTTCGCAAAATATAAAAGTCGCTTAATAGAACAATAATAAGTGATTTAATAAAGTAATAGATACATGTTATAATCGTTAGAAAATATTTAAACCAATTTTCCTTCTTAGATCCACAAGGTGGAAAAAAATTGCTGAAACCCGTTTCAAAATCTGCAGGATTGTAGTGATATGTTTGTTTTTAAAACGACCTTTCTAACATTTCAGTGAAAACAACGAAAATTGTTGAAAAACAATATTCTGAGAAACAAAAATAGATTTCATTCCTCAGAACTTGTTACTGTCGCATAAAATAAGATACTCTACGTAAAGAAATAAAAATTGAATTCAAATTCTGCAGAATTCCTTACATATTTCATAGCATTATGTAAAAGACTCAATTTTGAGGTATGCAAAACTATGCCTCAGTACTTTGTTATTCATCACTGC